AGGACTTCGTTCCTGAAGTCTTTATGGAAGGGGATTCCCCTCCCAAACAGTAATCAGTCCTCCCTCTCCCTCCTCCCTGTCTTCCATATGCCAACAAGAGTCTTCAGTAAAAGTAAGTGTGATGTTAAATGTTCATTTATACATGTTATTAGTGCTTTATAATATATTTGTCATTCTTTTCTGTATATAAATCTGTAATCTCTAAAAAAATATTTTTTCTTAATACTTTTGGGAGTCTGGAATGGATTAATTGGATGTACATTATTTCTTATGGGGAAAATCGTTTCAGTTATTGTCAATTTCACATTTTGCCAGACTCTGGAATGGATTAATGATGAAAAGGGAGGGTCCACTGTAATGATAATAATAATAATAATAATAATAAATACAGTATTGTTTAGCTTCCAACACAATGCAAGCATGCACTCTCTCTGTCTCTCTCTGTCTGTCTCTCTGTCTCTGTCTCTCTCTCTGTCTCTGTCTCTCTCTCTGTCTCTGTCTCTCTCTCTGTCTCTGTCTCTCTCTCTGTCTCTGTCTCTGTCTCTCTCTCTGTCTCTCTCTCTCTCTGTCTCTCTGTCTCTGTCTCTCTCTGTCTCTCTCTGTCTCTCTCTCTGTCTCTCTCTGTCTCTCTCTCTCTCTCTCTCTCTCTGTCTCTCTCTCTCTCTCTGTCCTCTCTCTCTCTGTCTCTCTCTGTCTCTGTCTCTCTCTCTGTCTCTCTCTCTCTCTCTGTCTCTCTCTCTCTCTCTGTCTCTCTCTCTGTCTCTTTCTCTGTCTCTGTCTCTCTCTCTCTCGTCTCTCTCTCTCTCTGTCTCTCTCTGTCTGTCTGTCTGTCTGTCTCTCTCTCTCTCTCTCTCTCTCTTTTACACAGGGTTTGACAAGGTTAAGGATCCCTAGCTTTATTGAGAAGCTATTTACAGGTTAAGGATTCCTAACTTTATTGGCAAGCTAAGAGCTGTTACCTACATCAGCTCATTTGAAAGCATTTTTATTGTTATGAGACATACAAGTAGGGAACAGGATGAAGTTGGAGCCATCTGTGGGCCAGCATTTTCATTTGATCAACTGACTTTATCTCGTTGACATCAGTATGCTGTATGAATGTGTTCCATACTCGAGTCATCCTGGGTATATAGGATCTCAGATGGAGTGAAATTCTGGAGAAGGGTACAGCCAGAGTGAAGTTGCTGCTTTCTGCCCGTCTTGTGGCATAAAAGCTTGTTTCACGCTGTCCTCAAAGTGGATCCAAGTGTGGTACTTTGACAATATTGGCCTTGTACATAACAGTAAGGCCACCCACATCCCTCCTATGTTGAAGGCTCTGCTGAAATGACAGATCTATCCAGGATGGGTCCAGGCGAGAGATGAGACGTCTTGCTCTGTTCTCTACTCTGTCAAGCAGTTGCAGATGACGGGAAGCAGGCAAACCAAGAAAGTGGAGCATACTCAAGGTGCGAGCGTACTTGTGCCTTGTACAGAATCTTGCAACCCCTACTGTCAAGTAGATGCAAGATACGGCGAAGTGCTGTAAGCTTCCTGGCTGCCTTGTTTGCAAGATATAGAACATGGTTCTTCATGGTTAGTTTGGAGTCAAATATCACCCCAAGGTATATCAACTTCTTCTCCAGGTGCCAACACCCTCCCATTCATCCTTACTACTGCACCAGCATTTCCATCATGGTGCCTAGAGACGATCATCATTTGCGTTTTCTCGGGTGCAAATGTTACTTGCCATCTATTTCCCCAAGCTGATATAGCTCTCAGCTGGTGATTGATGTAGCTTTCTCTCTCTCTCTCTCTCCTCTCTCTCTCTCTCTCTCCTCTCTCTCTCTCTCTCTCTCTCTCTCTCTCTTCTCTCTCACTCTCACTCTCACTCTCACTCTCACTCTCACTCTCACTCTCACTCACCCCACCCCACGTTACCTCCAGTAATATTATTGTGTACACATTTTCTTAAGTGTTGAACTAGAGAAAACGTTATTCTTTCCGACGACTGGAAAAACATCTCATATTTATGTTAATTTATTCTACTGTGGGGTGCATTTATCATGTTTATATGTTATGTAGCATGATTATTATATAATTCTGAAAAAATATCATAGATGGATTATTGAAAATGTGTATATTAACGTAATAACAACATTTAATGTGCCTCAGAGTGATTATCATTGCATATTATTATTACATATTATCATTATTAACCCTTTGACTGTTTTGGTCGTATATATACGTCTTATGCGCCACTGTTTCGGACGTATTTATACGCGTAAATTCTAGCAGCTTCAAATCAAGCAGGAGAAAGCTGGAAGGCCCACATGTGAGAGAATGGGTCTGTGTGGTCAGTGTGCACCACATAAAAAAAATCCTTCAGCACGCAGTGCATAATGAGAAAAAAAACTGACCGTTTTTTCGGATTAAAATACCGACTTTGAGGTGTATTTTCGTATAGTATTTATCATTGTATTCTCATTTTCATGGTCTCACGTGATAAAATGGAAAACATATTACAGAAATAGAGATAATTTTGATTAGTTTCATGATGAAAACAACCTTGAAATTGAGCTCAAAGTAGCGGAAATGTTCGATTTTTACCAATGTTCAGGAATAAGCAAATCACACCACACGTCCAATACAAGTCAACTGGGGAGTCTAATATTCTTTCGCTAGTACACTGATATTATTTATACCATTTTTACAATAATGCAGTAGTCTGCATAACAGTAAATTTTGTATTTTTTGTATGAATAAAAAATCAAAATAGAAAGCAATAGTAATGTAAGAGGGGCCTAGAGACATGACTAATGAACAGAGGATATGTTATTTTAGTGCCATGAATGTCTACATTGTTTATTCTGGACCCTATTTTGAAATTGGCATCTTTTTTAATTTGCATGAAATTTGCCAAATTGCCAATTTCTGACCACTTTATTGGGTAATTCAGATTAGTAAATGGGCGGTTTCTTGTACTCAACTGATAGAAAAAATGGAGTTCTAAAGAAATAGCTATGAGTTTGGTCAACTGGAACAACAGAATTGGCCAAAAACAGGGCTCAAAGTTGGCGAAATCGCCGATGTGTATATGTTGCTGAAATCGCTAACTTCGCGGGAGCGTAATTCCATGAGTTTTCGGCCAAATTATGTACTTTTGGTGTCATTACCATCGGGAAAAGATTCTCTATCATTTCATAAGAAAAAAAATTTTTTTTTTTTTTTTCCAAAAATTTTGCGTTATAGAATAACAGTTTCAGTAAGAGGCTTGCAACAGTCAAGGGGTTAATATGGTATCCTCAAGACTAATAAGATACTCTTAGTGATTTTAATGTGTACCTGTATGCCAGCACTGTGTGTAAGTTTATTGAGATACAGGTACACATAAGTACTTATAATTATCAGAGTATGAGTATTGGAGTGTGAGCAAAGTAACATTTATGAAGGGATTCAGGGAAACCGGCAGGCCGGACTTGAGTCCTGGAGATGGGAAGTAGTGTCTGCACTCTGAAGGAGGGGTGTTAATGTTGCAGTTTTATAAACTGTAGTGTAAAGCACCCCTCTGGCAAGACAGTGATGGAGTGAATGATAATGAAAATTTTTCTTTTTTGGGCCACCCTGCCTTGGTGGGAATCGGCCGATGTGTTAATAAAAAAATATATATACGTATATAAAACATGAAATAACTCTAAAACACTGGAAATTTTGGAAAGTTTCCAGACATAAGGAGAAATGTGGTGCTCACGGAGAATGTAAACAAACCAGGTGGGGCGCGGTGACTGTATTAGAAAGACAGGTGGGGGGAGCTGTAGAGTGAATTTTGGTCATAATTTGAAAAAAGCGAAACGCCATAAAGCGGAGCCCTATTGTATACAGTGGACCCTCGCCTAACGAACGCATCACATAACGTTAAATCCGCCTAGCAATGCATTTTAGCGCTAAAAAACTCGCCCAACAGAATTCGTTCCGTTCGAGACGCTTCCACGTGTGGCCTGAGTGCGCCAGTGTTTACAAGCCAGCCACCGTGGCCGCATCCAAACATACAATCGGAACATTTCATATTATCACAGCTTTTTAGTGATTGCACCTGCAAAATAAGTCACCATGGGCCCCAAGAAAGCTTTTAGTGCCAACCCTGTGATAAAAAGGGTGAGAATTAGTATGGAAATTAAGAAAGATTTTGAAGGGTTTGGGGCTAACCCTGAGATACCTATGCCATTTGTGGAATCCATTGTGCCTACTTCAAAGATTAAGGAAATGTGTGCAAAGTGGGTTGAACTGCAAACCTTTATGGATGAAAATCACCCTAACACAGCTATTGCAAGCCGTGCTGGTGACTATTACAATGACAATGTTATGGCCCATTTTAGACAAATCTTAAAGGAACGGGAGGTACAGAGCTCTATGGACAGATATGTTGTGCGACAGAGGTCCAGTGACTCTGAGGCTGGTCCTAGTGGCATTAAAAGAAGAAGGGAAGTAACCCCGGAAAAGGACTTGACACCTCAAATCCTAATGGAAGGGGACTCCCCTTCTGAACATTAACACCATCCAGACTCTCCCCTCCTCCCATCCCATCAGTCATCACCAGATCTTCAATAAAGGTAAGTCTCATGTAATTGTACATGTCTTCTTTAGTTTGTGTGTATTAAAATTAATATTTCATGTGGTAATTTTTTTTTTTGTTCATACTTTGGGGTGTCAGGAACGGATTAATTTGATTTCCATTATTTCTTATGGGGAAAATTAATTCGGCCAACAATAATTTTGCCTAACGTTGAGCTCTCAGGAATGGATTAATATCGTTAGGCGAGGTCCACTGTATATGTATGGGGGTACCTTGAGTTTCGAACAGCTCCCAACACGAACAATTATGTAAGTGTATTTTTGTATTATGGGAACAAATTTGTTTGGTAACAGCATTCGAACAGACTTCTGGAACAAATTATGGCCGAAACTTGAGGTACCACTGTATTTATCACACTGTATTAACATGAAGAATTTCTTTCCTACAGGGATTATGAAGAAGATGATAGGTTGGTCAATGGAACATGCCGTAACCCGGAAACAGTTTGGGCATCACCTCTCTGAATTTGCTTTAATTAAGGAAAAGTTTGCACGCATGAGTGTTGCTGTTTATGCCATGGAGTCTATGGCATACATTACAGCTGGAGTCTTAGATAGTCACAAAAATGCTGATTGTTCAGTAGAAGCAGCTATTGTTAAGGTAAGAGGTTCTCTGCTCTGCACATGCTATCTTGTCAGTCTAGTTCTTAGAAAATAAATAAATGTAATGGCTGTCTGTTCATATTTTAATAAAGTGATTTAAGAGATGGTTATGAAGATGTATAGTGTTTGCATGTTTTGTATGAAAGGAAGATCATTAACTGTAAAAAATATAGGATGGTAAGAACTGAAGGTTTCTGAATTCATCGGTGAGCAAAGTACAGTAGGGCCTCACTTATATGGCAGGTTAGGTTCCAGGCTACTGCCGGAAAGCAGACATCGCTGGAAAGCAGAACACCATTTTATCCACATAAATTCATATAAATGCCAGGCAACAAGTTAACACTAACTTATATTAAGTTAGTAGTAGAACTAGTCATTAAAAAACACAAAAACTAAAATAAATACACACAGCATTCGTTACTTACCTTAAAATATTTGTCGTCTTAATGAAGGGCGAGAGGTGAGTAGTACTTATTGGTAAGAAGTCAAGTGTAGATAGCCCTGGCTCCCCATCCCAAACTTAATATATGATACTTAAAGCAGCCCAGAGAGATAAAATATACATACAATACACTCATTATTTACCTTAAAATATGTGTATTCTTAATGTAGGATGAGAGGTGAGAAGTATTTGTAAGAAGACAGGTGTAGGTAGCCAGTAGATGTAGCCTGCATGGGCTACAGAGCTACACCTATGGTGCCCTACCTACATACCTATACAGTATTTAATGCAGCCCAGAGCCATATTATTACAATTGACATACCTTGTTCACTGAGTTTAATCGTTTCTAACAACTACCTTTAGATGCCATCATAAACGAAAGGAGAGGTGATGAGAATTCATGCCAAGAATTGTAAACAAAAGTGGGAATGACTGGGCCAAACACAGATTCATACACGTTTTCTCTGGTGCTTGTCCAGAGAAAACATGATGTTTTCCCTTCACCCGGCTACCACACCTCCATAGCATATAAACATAGCATGTTTATATGTTATGTAATGTGTTTCTTATGTAGTTTTGAAAATATCATAGATGGATTAATGAAAATGTCTATATTAACATAAAATAAGACATTTAATGTGCCCAAGAGTGATTATTATTATGTAGTATAACTATGGTGTTAAGACTAGAGGGACACTCTTAGTGACTTCAATGTGTACCTTCACACCAGCACAGTTTGTAAGTATATTTAGGTACAGGTACACATAAGTATAATTATCAGAGTACATACATATAAAATATGCAATAACTGTAAAACACTTGAAATTTTGGAAAGTTTCCAGACATAATAGAGAGATGTGCTCACGGAGAATGTAAACATACTGGATGGGGCGCGCTGTATTAGAAAGACAGGGAGCCGTATAGCGAGTTTTGGTCATAATTTTAAATCGCCATATTAGTAGAACGCTGTAATGTGGGGCCCTACTGTAACAGGAAAGGGCAGGTGGTAGACCACAAGTACTTGTTTAAATATCAGTTTTAGTAAGGATCTGGAATTGGATGCTATGTCAATACCTATTTGTAATTACCTACTGTGTTAAGTTTGCAGTAGAGAAATTACTGGGTTAGAACAAAACTAAATCTTTTGTATCAGATGAAAGAAACAGAGAGAACAAAAAACTGGTCATGATATTGCTAGAAACCCCAAATAGTTCTACACATGTTGATGAGTTTGGTAGGGTATGTAAAGCAAGAAAATTAAAGATGAATATAGGAAAGAGTAAGGTGATGAGGATAACAAAAAAAAAATAGGTAACAGAAGATCGGATATTAGATTGGAGGGAGAGTATGGAGGAGGTGAATGGGAGTGGACGTGTGAGCAGATGGTTCTATAAAAGATGAGGTGAATCATAAAATTGATGAGTGGGAAAAAGGTAAGTGGTGCACTGAGGAGTCTGTGGACACAAAGAACTTTATCCATGAAAGCAAAGAAGGGAATGTATGAGATTATAGTTATACCAATGCTCTTACATGGGTGGGAGGCATGGGTGGTGAATGTTCCAACAAGGAGAAGGCTGGAGGCAGTGGAGATGTCATGTCTGAGGGCAATGTGTGGTGTGAATATGATGCAGAGAATCCGTAGTTTAGAGATTAGGAGGAGGTACGGGATTACCAAAACTATTATCCAGAGGGCTAAGGAGGGGTTACTGAGATTGTTCGGACTGTAGAGAGGAGGGAATAAAATAGAATGACTTTGTGAGTATATAAATCTGTAGTGGAGGGTAGGTGGGTAGGAGTTGGCCGCCTAGGAAAGGTTAGAAGGAGGGAGTAAAAGAGGTTTTGTGTGCAAGGGGCTTGGACTTCCACCAAGCATGTGTGAGCGTGTTAGATAGGAGCGAATGGAGACAGATGGTTTTCAGGACTTGATGTGCTGTTGAAGTGTGAGCAAGGTAACATTTATGAAGGTATTCAGGGAAACTGGCAGGCTGGACTTGAGTCCTGGAGATGGGAAATACAGTACCTGGACTCTAAAGGAACGGTGTTAATGTTGCAGTTTTATAACTGTAGTGTAAGCATGCCTCTGGCAAGACAGTGATGGAGTGAATGATGATGAAAGTTTTTCTTTTTCGGGCCACCCTTCCTTGGTGGGAAATGGCCGATGTGTTAAAAAAAATAAAATGTGTAAAATCTAAGTTAAGAAGTGTGTGTAGAATTAGACCATTAATCACAGGAGGTTCATACACTGATGATGAAAAAAAAATGAGCAAAATTCTAAAAGACCGATATGAATTAATGTTCAGCATTCATTTAAATGGAAGTACAGTGGAACCTTGGTTTTCGTTATTAATTTGTTCCAGAAAGTCTGATGAAAACTGAAGCAGTAGTTCCCATAAGAAATAATGTAACTCCAATTAATCCAATCCAGACACCCAAAAATATTAACAAAAAATACATTTTATAGAGAATAACTATAGTTTTACATACAGAAAACAATGAGAAATAAATACAAATGACTAGTGAAATGGATAAATGAACATTTAACATCACTTTTACCTTTTTTGTAGACTCTTGTTGGTGTCTGGAAGACAGTGAGGAGGGGAGAGGGAGGAGAGGTTATTATTTGGAAGGGGAATCCCCCTCTATAAGGACTTCAGGTATCAAGGCCCTATCTGGGGTTATTTCCCTTCTTTGTCTCTTACTGGCACTAGGACCAGCTTGAGAGTCACTGGACCCCTGTCGCACAAAAAAATCTGTCTAGAGAGGTCTGTTTCTGGTGTCTCTCTAAGATTTGCCTAAAATGGAACAAGGCATTGTCATTGAACATGTTGCAGACACAGCTTGCAACAGCTTTGTTAGGGTGATACTTCTCCCCAAAAACTTTGCAACTCATTCCACTTTGCACACGTGTCCTTAATCACTGAAGAAGGCACATTATCCCTTCTCTCTTCCTCCTCCTCTGAAGCAATTTCCTCAGCTGCAGTCACTTTTGTACTTTGCTATGAGTTCTTTCTTGAATTCTGTCATGTTTTTCACCTTCTATATCAAAGGGCTAGCACTCAGAACTTTCTTTGGCCCCATGGTGGCTTATTTAGCAGTCACACTCAATAAACAAGCACAAAAAGCAATGGATTACAGTGGACCCCCGCTTAACGATCGCCTCCCAATGCGACCAATTATGTAAGTGTATTTATGTAAGTGCGTTTGTACATGTATGTTTGGGGTCTGAAATGGACTAATCTACTTCACAATATTCCTTATGGGAACAAATTCAGTCAGTACTGGCACCTGAACATACTTCTGGAATGAAAAAATATCGTTAACCAGGGGTCCATTGTATTACGAAATGTTATCTGAACGCGCGGGGTAATGTTCACTCAACGAGAAACAGTGCCAGACTGAGTCAGAACGTATGTGATGTTCTGTGTGGGCGCAGTAGGTGGATGTGTTTGGTGCGGACCACTGTCATCTCTGAAACCGAGTGGATGTACAAAAACTCAGACAAAATTTAGGTGAAAAAAGTCATCGAAAACCAAATCCTACAAAAACTAGGGCATATGAAAACCTAGGTTCCACTGTACAGGGGGCCCTCCACATTCACGAGGTTAGGGAATCAAGAACCTCGCGAATCTTGAAAATTCACGAATGTTTGGTACGCAAATACGATGTAGGTACGCAAATACGATGTTGGTATGCAAATACGATGTAACGTTTGTGAATGTTTTGATGCGCAAATATTTATTTTTTGTTTTATTAATACATCAGCTGATTCCCACTAAGACAGGGTGGCCTGAAAAAGAAAAACTTTCATCATCATTCACTCCATCACTGTCTTGGCAGAGGGGTGCTTTACACTACAGTTATAAAAACTGCAACATTAACACCCCTCCTTCAGAGTGTAGACACTGTACTTCCCATCTCCAGGACTCAAGTCTGGCCTGCAAGTATATTGTAGGGAAATATAATGTAATAGCATTTACTTAGCCTAACAATACTACTTCGTTAACCTGTTGAACCTCGAGCAATCATGAAACGCACAAAAACATCGTAAAATATTGTATATACATGTATATGTTATGGTTTAATAACAAATAATGGGTCTGTGGGATTTCCATTTCTTTTTTGGTCTGAAATCCACACAAATAATGCTGATTCCATCTTAGACATTGCACTGTTTCTTACTTGTACACTTGCTTGGCTGAGGGAGGAGCAGTAGATGCTAGTACTGCCTTTATCTTTCCCTCATTTTTCATGATAGAGTGCACTGTGCTTTCATTTACGTTAAATAATTTTCCAATGGCAGAATTGCTCAAACAACCTGCTCTACACTTGTCTAGCAATTTCACCTTCCTCCAGGTTAATGACTTTCTTGGAGCATTTTCCTGTACTTTTTTCCCACATTTGTTTGATAAATATGATTGGGCAGCTAGGCATTCGCGAATGTTCAAAGCTCGCAAAAGTGCAGGGCTAGTGGTAGAGTGGAGAGTTCAGAAATTTTCTTCATTACCCCTCAAGGCAACATAGATCACATAACTGACATACATACATGCCCTGATGACTTTGAAAAAGAAATAGAAAATATGTCCACTCATGCAGCACCTAGAGTGGATTAATGGAATTCCTTATTTATGAAAGAGTGCAGAATACCTCTAGCATGAGCACTCAGTTTTCTTTAGAGGAAGAGTTTAGATATAGGCCTTAAAAAATGTGGATGTAGTTCTTTTGCATAAAGAAGGCAGTAAAACACTATCCAAAAATTACAGACCAGTAGCCCTAATGTCATGCATCATAAAAGTCTTTGAATGGGCGATGAGACATCAAATTACAAACTTTACAGAACTGCATAACCTACACAGCAAAACCAGTATAGATTTAGAGCAGAAAGATCATGCTTGTTACAGCTACTAAACCATTCTTGACAGACTTACAGAGGTGGATTTTGCAAAGACTTTTGATAAATGTAAACATTGAGTGATTACATATAAGTTGAGGGATTCTAGTATAACAGGGAAAGTAGGCAAATGTATTTTTAATTTTCTGACAAACAGAACACATTTAATAGTAGTTCAACAGGAAAATCCAGCATTAGCAAAGTAAATAGCTCAGTATCCCAAGGCATAGTCCTGGTGCCTTTACTGTTTTGTATCTTCATAGAGTACATAGATAAAATCACTCATCATGGTTTTGTATTATCATTTATAGATACTAAAATAAGCATGACAATCACCTCAGTAAGGGACACTAAAAAATTGTAGGATGATATAAACAGGATTTTTCATTGGGCAGTGGAGAATAACATGATATTCAGTAGTGACAATCTCCAATTGCTTAAATATGGAAAGAATGAAGAACTCAAGAGACACTGTATACAAAACACAAGGCCACCAAATAGAACAAAAGGAACATGTGATTTGGGTGTAATATTGTCAGCTGACTTTCTTTCAAGATACACAATAAGGCAGATATCACGAATACCAAGAAAATGATGGGGTGGATAATGAGAACTTTCAAAACAATGGAAATAGTTCCGATGATGACATCTCAAATCACAAGGAAGGGAACAAGACGTCTTATTCCTCAGATCAGTAGCCCGTTCACCACATGAAGGGACCCTCTTGGAAGGTGAAGTCTGTTGGATGTCCAAGCCCCAAGCATTCAAAACCTCCTTTACCCCCTACTACTAACCTTTCCTGGGAAGGCCACTAACCTCTTTCCCTACACCCCAAATTTATACACCCTCCTCGTCATCCTATTTTGTTCCATCCTCTCTAAATGTCCAAACCACCCTACCAATAATGACAAAAAAAGGCACAATACCATGACTGGAACGATACACAAATAACCCGCACATAGAAGAGAGGAGCTTATGACGACGTTTCGGTCCGACTTGGACCATGTACAAAGTCACAGTAACGAGAAGTGGAGCAGGATGGGTATATATAGGCATGGTGGTGGTGGTAGTAGTGGTAGTGGTGGTAGTAGTAGTAGTGGTGGTAGTAGTAGTGGTAGTAGTAGTAGTAATGGTGGTGGTAGTAGTAGTAGTGGTGGTAGCAGTAGTAGTGGTAGTAGTAGTAGTGGTGGTAGTAGTAGTGGTGGTAGTTGTAGTGGTGGTGGTAGTAGTAGTGGTGGTAGTAGTAGTGGTGGTAGTAGTAGTAGTGTGTAGTAGTAGTAGTAGTGGTGGTAGTAGTAGTAGTGGTGGTAGTAGTTAGTAGTAGTAGTAGTGTGTGTGGTGGTAGTAGTAGTGTTAGTAGTGGTAGTAATGGTAGCAGTGGTGGTAGTAGTGGGTAGTGGGAGGAGGAGAGAGGAGGAGGGCAGCAGCAGCAGCAGGAGGTGGAGGAGGGCAGCAGGGGAGGAGGAGGAGCAGCAGCAGAGGAGGGGAGGGAGAGCTAGAGCAGCAGGAGGAGGAGGAGAGCAGCAGAGGGCAGCTAGCACAGAAGAGTAGGAGGGAGTGTAGGAGAGAGTGAGAGAGTAGAGTGGAGGAGTGGAGGAGTTGAGGTAGTTATGAGAGATGTTGTAGCTGGGAGGGTAGGTAGGTTAGTATAGAGAGTAGTGAGCGTAGCAGTGAGGGGAGTTGTAGGTAGGAGGAGATGCAGGAGGAGGAGGAGGGGGAGAGCAGCAGCGCAGCAGGGGAGGAGGAGAGCAGCAGCAGCAGGAGGAGAGGAGGAGGAGGAGCAGCAGCAGCAGGAGGAGGAGGAGCAGCAGGGCAGCAGCAGGCAGGAGGAGCAGGAGCAGGAGGAGCAGCAGCAGCAGCAGGAGGAGGAGGAGAGCAGCAGCAAGCAGCAGGAGGAGGAGAGCAGGAGAGAGAGAGCAGCAGAGCAGAGGAGGAGGAGCAGCAGCAGCAGGAGGAAGGACAGGAGGAGGAGGAGCAGCAGCGCAGGAGGAGGAGCGCAGGAGGAGGAGAGCAGCAGGAGAGGAGGAGGAGAGCAGCAGCAGGAGGAGGAGGAGAGCAGCAGGAGGGAGGAGGAGCAGCAGCAGCAGGAGGAGGAGGAGGAGGAGAGTGCAGCAGCAGCAGGAGGAGGAGAGAGAGCAGCAGCAGCGCAGGAGGAGGAGGAGGCAGGAGCAGAGGAGGAGGAGGAGGAGGAGCAGCAGCAGCAGGAGGAGGGAGCAGCAGCAGAGGAGGAAGGAGGAGGAGCAGCAGGAAGGAGGAGCAGCAGGAGGAGGAGGAGCAGCAGGAGGAGGAGAGGAGCGGAGAGAGGAGCAGCAGGAGGAGGAGGAGGAGCAGCAGCAGCAGGAGGAGGAGGAGGAAGCGCAGGAGGAGGAGGAGGAGGAGCAGCAGCAGCAGAGATGCAGGAGGAGGAGGAGGAGCAGCAGCAGCAGGAGGAGGAGAGAGGAGGCAGCAGCAGCAGGAGGAGGAGCAGCAGCAGGAGGAGGAGGAGGAGGAGCGCAGCAGGGAGGAGAGCAGCAGCAGGAGAGGAGGAGGCAGGAGGAGAGCACAGGAGGAGGAGCACAGGAGGAGGAGGAGGAGGAGCAGCAGGAGAGAGGAGGAGCAGCAGGAGGAGGAGGAGGGCACAGCAGAGGAGGAGGAGCAGCAGAGGAGGAGGAGGAGGAGCAGCAGGAAGGAGGACCAGCAGCGAGGAGGAGGAGCAGCAGCAGGAGGAGGACGCAGCAGGAGGGAGGAGGAGGAGCAGCAGCAGGAGGAGGAGGGAGGAGCAGCAGCAGGGAGGAGGAGGAGGAGGAGCAGCAGCAGGAGGAGAGAGGCAGCAGGAGAGGAGCAGCAGCAGGAGGAGCAGAGGAGGAGGAGGAGAGAAGCAGCAGCAGGAGGAGGAGGAGAGAGCAGCAGCAGGAGGAGAGGAGGAGAGCAGCAAGCAGGAGGAGGAGCAGCGCAGCAGAGACAGAGGAGAGGAGAGCAGCAGGAGGAGGAGGAGCAGCAGGAGGAGGGAGCAGGAGGCGGAGGGCAGAGGAGGACACGGAGGAGGAGCAGCAGCAGCAGGAGGGGAGCAGGCAGCAGAGGAGGAGGAGGAGCAGGACAGCAGGAGGAGCAGGAGGGAGGGAGCAGCAGCAGGAGGAAGCAGCAGCAGGAGAGGAGCAGCAGGAGGGAGGAGCCAGAGGAGGAGGAGGAGGAGCAGCCGCCGCCGCCGCCAGGGAGCTAGGTACCCACAGAGGGAGAGCAAGTGCACAGAGGCGGGGGGAGGGGGAAGTGATGAAATAAATAATGAAGGAACAGAAACACGAGACAGAAGAAAGAAAGACAACCCAGAGGAGAAAAAAGGAAAGAGAAAAGGAGAAGAAAAAAGGAGGAATCAGGTTAAGTCACAGGTGTTCTGAAGTTTGGAGCATTTTACAATGTAGTGGGAGAGGAAGGCATCTACAGAGACAAAACCAGGACTAAGATTCATACAAGGAAAGTTGTGTATTATAGAGAATTCAACTAGACGATGACAACTGACTTAGAGTTGGAAGTAGGGAAGACAGTTTTAGCGGAAGACCAGTCAATAAGATGGCTGTGATCTCTGACGTGACAGTACTCATTTACTGATTACAATGGGCTCTGACCAGTATTCCTGCCTAAATAATATATATTAGAGCTGATTTCCTCTATTCTGTTTATTTCAATATACAGTACACTACTGTATAAACATTTAAAAATATACCAGAAATGTTATAAATGGTGCAAAGGTGACATTAAAATAATATCAAAGGTGGTTGACACAAACTTGATACCATTACAGTATGCTCCTCACTTAGCGACGAATTCGTTTAACGACGTGGTCTCAGGAACAGAACCCCATTGCTAAGTGAGGAGAGGCTGTATTGAATAAAATATAAATTGGGAGTATAAATTTTTCACACATAGAGAAGTTGTTTTTATTACATTTTTTCTTCACTAGGTATTCAGTTCAGAGTCAGTCTGGCACTGGGGCTCAGAGTGTCTTCAGATTCTAGGTGGCATGGGCTACATGAAACCTTACCCATTTGAACGTTATCTTCGTGATGCTCGCGTTCTTTTAATCTTTGAAGGAACAAATGAAATTCTTCGACTGTTTATAGCATTAAGTGGTAAGAATCCATCTCATTGTTGTAATTTACGATAGATCAGGCTAGAAAATTATTTTAAATTTAAGAGTTCTGTAGACAGTGCTTTCATATACTTCTTCCACAGTCCAGAACGTTCACCATTTGATAATTACTTACTGCTGACTCTATAAACATTATTGCAGTAGAGTACATCATTTATTTGAACACTGTGCCAAACATTTAGTCTCATTTAGTAGTATGCCTAAGTAATGTGGGATGTTGTATTACTATACACTGTAATGCATTAAATTACTTACTCTATAAGGGGATACAGTATTTAAATAGTTTTGAGGAAATAATTTATTATTGATATTTAAACACTTCATGGCAGTATTTTCAAATATGGTACTCTGAGCATTATAAACAGTTCTTTAACTTATTTAAGATATAACTTAAATTATGTGTGTAAATTGTCGAGTGATATACACAGATGACTCGCACATAGGAGAGAGGAGCTTTCAACAACATTTCAGTGACTTTGTAGATGGCCCAAATCGGACCAAAACGTTGTCATAAGCTCCTCTCTTCTATGTGTGGGTTAATGTGTATTGTTCTAGTCATGGTATTGTGCCTTTCTGTTCTTTGTTGAGTGATATATAGTTCATCTCATTTTATTGTATGTTTACATATTTTTTGCAGGATTGCAACATGCAGGAATTGAACTGCAGAGTTTGATTAAAAAGCTTCGTAACCCTCTGATGAATCCTGGTTTTATACTTGGCAAGAGTATAGAGAGACTGCGGCACCAGAAAGATAATCCTAAACTAGATTTAGATTTGGCAGGTTACATTCACCCGTCTCTGAAATTAGGAGCTGATTCTCTTGAATACTGTGTAAAGCGCCTGCAGTACAGTGTGGAGGTAGTGCTAGCCAGACATGGTAAGATAATTTACAACTAGAATTTTTTAGTGGCATGCTAGAGTACTATGAACATGGTAGGGTTGGTGTACTGCTTTGTAAAGTACAATAGATGGTGATAAAGGTGCGTGAAGCTCAGTGAAGATTTGTTTTGTGTTCATTTACTGAGTTTGTCATCAAAGGACACCAGAAAAACCACAAGTGAAAAGGATTGCAACAAATGACTTAACTGTTGCTGGCACAGCATTCGGTCTGTTCAACCTATTTGACAATCTTTGAATGCCAAATACTATATACTCAAGTGTAGGCAAAAAGTAAGGGGTCAGCTTACTCACAGGTAATTTTTTTTTTTTTTCAACAGGTCGGCCGTCCGTCTCCTGCCGAGGCAGGGTGACCCAAAAAAGAAAAACACTTTCACCATCATTCACACATAATCACTGTCTTTGCAGAGGCATTTGGACATCCCAAACTCCTCCTTTAAAGTGCAGACATTGTATTTCTCACCTCCAGGACTGAAGTCTGGCTAACTGGTTTCCCTGAATCCCTCTTACAAAATATTACCCTGCTCACACTCCAACAGCTTGTCAGGTCCCAAGAACCATTGTCTCCATTCACTCCAATCCAACATGCTCACATGTGCCTGCTGCATGTCCAAGCCCCTTGCACACAAAACCTTTTTATCCTCTCCCTCCATCCTTTCCTAATATTTTTGAGGGGTTGAAATTCATACATCTTGTGTGCTACCCATACACTAGATACCTACTTCTTGGGTCTGTCAGTTGCAAGATCATACTGGGTAAAAATATTCCACCTTAAATATACAAATAAAATTGTCAGTAATATTTTCTGGAACTGTCTACCTTGTTTACTAGCCCTACAGATGGAGTTCTCAGCACTCAAAGCCAGACAATATTTTATTTTAGCTCTAAACGGTTCCAAGTCCAAAGATATTCATAATTATGCTTGAATGAGTACTGTGTATATAATTTTTAGAGTAAATTTTATATGGCCTTGTAGAGGGTATTTAGAAACTTCCTAAACATTTTTTTTTTTAACAGTAGCTGTTTCTGATGATCTACTTAATGGGAAAAACTTCACTTTCTAGGGCTGTGAATGCTGTACTAATAATCTGAGAATAATACTGTACAGCCTCTCCTCACTTAGCGATGTACTCATTTACTGACGACTCGGACTTATGACAGGCTCTCTGACCAGTATGCATATATAAATACAGTGGACCCCCGGTTAACGATGTTTTTTCATTCCAGAAGTATGTTCAGGTGCCAGTACTGACCGAATTTGTTCCCATAAGGAATATTGTGAAGTAGGTTAGTCCATTTCAGACCCCCAAACATACACATACAAACGCACTTACATAAATACACTTACATAATTGGTCGCATTGGGAGCTGATCGTTAAGCGGGGGTCCACTGTAATGTATATTAGAGCTGATCTCCTCTATTCTATATATTACAGTATACAGTACACTACTGTATAAACATTTAAAAATAGTATACTAAAAATGTTATAAATGGTGCAAAGGTGACATTAAAACAATTTCAAAGATGGTTGACACAAACCCACTACCATTATAGTATGCTCCTCACTTAGTGACGAATTCGTTTACTGATGTGGTCTTAGGAATGGAACTCCATTGTTAAGTGAGGAGGGGCTGTACAGTATTTTACAACTAAGACGTTAAGAGGTGCACTTTGAACCGTTTCAGGGTCCAGACCCCTGATCTGAAACTTGTCCACAGGGTCCAAGAATTTTCAGAAAAATGTTTTATTTTTTCTTATGAAATGGTTGAGAATTTTTTCTGAAGATATTAAAACAAAAAGTATGAAATTTGATGGAAAATTGATGAACTTGCACTTTCACGAATTTTGCATTCGGCAGTATTTATGCATCAGTGATTTTGCCCACTTTGAGTCCTATTTTAGGCCAATTACATTGCTACAGTTGACCAAATTCTTAGCTGTTTCACTATTATGCCTTCCATTTATCAATTGAGCACAAGAAACCTGCTAGTCATCTATTTCAACCCCCAAATAAAGTGATTTCAGAATATTCCAATTTCAAAATAGGGTCCAGAATAAACAAAGCAGGCATTCCTGGCACGAAAATAACATTTCCTCTGTTCATTAGTGATGTTCCCAGGCTTTACACTTGAATTTTATTTTGATTTTTTATTCACATAAATTTTATTCACAAAAAGTTGTAGATTTATTGTTAGGCAATATTGTAATAGTTGTATAAATAATATCAGCACATTCATGAATTCGCATATTAGATCCATCAGTTGATGTGTATTGGACATGTGATGTGATTTACTTACTCTTGAACATCAGCAAAAATTGAACATTTCAAGCTATTTTTAGTCATAAAACCAATCAAAATCATCTCTATTTCTGTAATATATTGTTAATTCTATCAAATGACACCAAGAAACAGTGAATACAACCATAAAAACCCATACAAAAATACACCTCAAAGTTGCTGTTTTAAACCAAAAAGACAGTCACAGTTTTTTTTTTCTCATTATGCACTGCATGAACTACAGCCCTAACACTGGTTTCAAAGCTGTAGAACTATAGCACAGACTCCGAAAGGGTTAATAGACTTACAGCTCTTTATTTTTACATTATAGGCCTGAAAGTAGCCGAGCCTGAAAATCAGCTGGAATTGGCTCGTCTGGCTGACTGTGCTATTGACATCTATGGCATGACTGCTGTGCTGTCCCGTGCATCACGTTCGTATTGCATAGGAATCAGAAATTCTGCTCATGAGGTTAGTTGTATGTGAATTAGTACATTTTTTTTTATTGATGTGGATAGCATACCTGCATTTAATAATAAAAATTAGATAGTATATTTTTTTAAGTTGTTTCCTACAAATGGGCTGTATTACAGTGAACTCGTGATTTAATGGATTAAAAGCAAGGAGGGGGGTGTCAGTTGTTGGTTGATTCTCAATCCTGAAATTTATTTTTCACAATCATAAAGGAATAAAATCATGATTCAGTGGATTTGGTTTATTTGATCTGGAGACTGGACAAAGGCCGGAAGCAGTGGGAAATGTAAAGTGCCGTAATTGATATTGGAATAACTTTTATTCCGAGTCAAAGGAGCTGTAGAGCTCCACTAATGACATTGTAGATGGTTCAAAATACATAGATAAGAACAGGTGTAAAGAATGTATCCAGTTTCACTTGCTTGCCACGTTGATGCTGCTTTCTAATCACACATTCTCATAGGAATTTGTAAGTGTAGATAATAGGCCTGTATTTCCCTTTTGTCTGAGAGATCAGTGTACATGATGAGGACATCAGTTGCATCTTGTGCAACCGACAGTCAGTGACCTCTCAGTCTCATCACTACTCTGTCTGCTGTGTTAGTACTACTAGACTGATCTGCAATTTCTGCATCACTCAACATCTGGTAACCAGGATCACTCGTTTTCTTCTAATCATACCATCACATATTCCACTGTGAAATCTGTTTTTCATCTTCTGAAGGGTACAGTGAAAATCACTTCCTTTAAACCCTCAAAGTCAAACTCAGTATCAAGGTTATAAAACGATTTTTTTCTGTCCATTAGCTAATGTACTTTTCAATTCCTTCCATGATGCCACAAGGTTGAGGATGGCAAGAGGTTTCTGCAACCTACATAAGCCTCTGGTATCTTTCTCCAAATCTTTTTCCTCTATCACTACCAGTACTTCATCTACTTACCTAGACCGGTACAACTTGCGGGCTGCAATAAACCCCTGATCTATAAGTTGGATCTGGGAGGTGGCATTAGGGGGCAAAAATATGGCCTTAATTTTAGAATCTTTGCTGCTTAATTTTTCAGCTCTTCCATAAGCAAGTGCTTTTTCAAGCAAATGAAGAGCCTCGACCTCCTTGGGATCTAGTTTGAGGACCTCCAGCTTGTGTTTTTTCTACTTCAGGGACAAAAAGTGCAAAAAAAAAGTTTCTAAATACATCCCAGTCACATAAGCCTTTCTTACCTTGTAATATTTGACTGGCAAGTCCTTCAAGCAGATTTAAATCCTGTGGCCATGCCAACTTGCTTGTAACTTTCCATTTCAGTCAGTGTGAACCATCAGCATTAGCACAGCATAATACTGAGAAGTAGGCTTTACTGAGGTTACAGCCTGGTGCCCTTCCTGCTGAAAGGCTAGTGTGTTTGAAGGAAGTGAGCACCAAAATAGACCAATCTTATCAGCATTGTAGAGCTGATATTTAAGGAGCTTCTCACTGTCTCTCAGATCATTTAACAATAATCCGAATGGGTCAACATTGTCCAAGGGTATGCTACCAGCCTTGCAATAGGTCTCGTTACTCAGTCCATAGAGGTTATGGAAATGCCAAGACCAACTATGGCTTGCTTGAGGTTCTGTGTTCATAGGTTTTGCTTACCTATTAGCAGCAGAGCAAAGATCAGCACCTTGAACATAAACATCAACAGCATGTTTTTAAACATACCAGTAATACACTACTTCGTCAAGCTTTTTATTTGGGGCTGTTGTCATATACTTTTGAGGACCACTTGTTGAACACTTTTGGCTAGAATCTACACTCATCTTAAGAGCATATGCTGTAAGTTTTCCCTTGCTTATATGGATACCAGACACTGTTTCTTAACACCATAATCCTCACACATATGACACTGAGATGCTTTTGTTATTTTATTCACCAAGAAACAGGACAAGTGCCTTTTGACATGGTCCTTAATCACTTAGATGACCCATTATTATACAGACACACCAAGCTCAACCTTCCTTGTTGCTTCAGGTTTCTGCTTAGCACTCAGACTCACACATTTCCTCTTGGCACCACCACTTGCTTTAGAGGTCATTGTTAATTGCACTTCACTTAATATGTTAATAAAGTCACAAACACTGTAAATCCAGGAAATATTGGACACCAAATTACGAGTGTACTTGCAAACAGTGTGGACAGTAAGCTGATGCGGCCAGCCTATGCCTCAGGCAACAACAAAATGGCCAAATCCTGGACATAGCCCTTTGGCCTGTACCAGACAAATGCCAAATGGTCCATTGGTTCTGGAGACTACTTGACACTACAGTTAATAGACAAAATCCATTCCAACAGACCTTTTCTGTTTTGTTTGCTGGATCCTGCTGTTGTTTTGCCAGTTTTTGTTGCTTCTGAGGTTTTTACTGCATATTTATGGAAAGGACTGAACCACACAGGCTATAAAATTGTGTAATTTGTTAACCTTACAACAAATTTGTAACTGATGATAAATTGTACACTTTAACCCATTCATTTTTTTCCCCTTCATCATTCCTTTTTGCACTTTCCAGGATTAAAAAAAAGGTACAGTGGAACCCCGGTTTTCGTCTTTAATCTGTTCCAGAAGGTCAGCCGAAAACTGAAGTAATATTTCCCATAAGAAATAATGTAAATCCAATTAATCCGTTCCAGACACCCAAAAATATTAACAAAAAATACATTTAATAGAGAATAACTATAGTTTTACATACAGAAAACAATGAGAAATAAATATAAAGCACTAATGAAATGGATAAATGAACATTTAAATCACTTTTACCTTTATTGAAGACTCATGTTGGCGTATGGAAGATGGCAAGGAGGGGAGAGGTTATCTCTACCACCATCACTACCACCCCCTACCACCATCACTACCACCCCTACCACCATCACTACCACCCCCAACCACCATCACTACCACCCTCTACGAGTAACAAAGGCAGACTGCGTCATGTGCGCATGAGCAACTGCGTCCCGTGGGCAAGCCGACGCGTCTGGTATGGACGATTTCCAAGCGGATGTTCAACGGACCGGATGAAAACCAGGGTTCCACTGTACCTGCAGTTTTACCTGCATATAGTATTACCTTCAGCACATTTCAGAAGTAGAGTAAAAGATTCCAGTACAGTAGTATATAAATTAATATTTGCAACAGGGTGTTACTGTTGTTTTTAAGATACAGTATTCACATAAAGTGCTAAACTGTTAATTTTGTAGAAATACACTGTCAGCTAAATTATGGTAGAGTACTGTCAGATGCCTCTAATTTTACTATTTAAAAAAAAAAGTTTTGTTGGTCTTGTAGAACATAATTTCTTGTTTTTCCAAAAGGTTCTCGTGTACTTATTACAGTACAGGCCTACTTTTACTGGGAAATAATCTCCCTCTCTCCTACAAAATCTAACCTGAGCCTCACTATCCTTGTAAAAAAACTCTTCACTGCTTTCAGTAACCTACCTCCTATACCATACACCTGCAACATCTGCCACATTGCCCCCCTATCCACCCAGTATTTTGATCTATAATGGAAATCTCATTATATGAGGGCATGTGACTAGGATCTGTGAATTGGCTTTGACACTATGGCTGTTTCTGCCTTAGGGTGCTGGTGCTTGTTTCCTAAGATGTTGTAGTGTCTTAATTATAAAAATATGAAATGATACTATGGTAGATACTGTATAGTTAAATCTTTCTTACTACATCGCCATAACACAGTTATGAAACTTCTTGCAGTGTATTTGTCTGTTTCTGCCTATTCTTTTTGTTTTATTCATGTAATATCTTTTATTTATATTCATAACAGATGCAGCTTGCCATGATGTTTTGTGAGGAGGCTGCTGCTCGTATCAAGAAAAGAGTAAAAGATATTGAAAATGGACCATTTATCAACAGTGACTCTACCTACATGAAAATTGCTGACACACTCATTGAAAATAAAGGATATGCTGCTGAGCATCCTTTGACACGTGTCTTTTGGTGATACATTACTAACATTGGTGAAGCAGCTTCAGTTAAATCTGGGCATTACATGTAGTTGATACAGTACCATTTATTCCTTGACCTAGGATTTAACCTAACATGCAAAATAAGAAATTTGTTGAAAATTTATTATAAATGAATACATGTATAATGATTCTAGTGGGGTGATAGGGGTATCTGAACCCATGGTTTGGCAGTCCTAAAATTACCAATTCATCTCTCTATTCAACTGCCAAGGAACTGGGTTGGTAATTGTATGACTGCTACACTGTGGACTTTGAATCTTGTCACTCCATTTGCACCACGTGAAATATGTAGAATATACAGTAGTGGTACCTCGAGTTACGAACTTAATTTGTTCCAGAAGGCTGTGCGAGTGCCGTTACCGAACGAATTTGTTCCCATAAGGAATAATTAAATTAGATTAGTCCGTTTCAGACCCCCAAAAATACACTTACATAATTGTTCGAGTTGGGAGCTGTTCGAAACTCTAAGTCCCATTGTTTATGTATATAACTATTTTTAAAACTCTTCCTTTTTAATAGTTTTAAATACGGTATGGTATACATAATTGATAGTTTTCTGGCTTGTGTGAATCATCCATTTCTGAAGAAAATAATTATGGCTTAAAATTTCAGTGTAAATAAGAGATACATTGTATAAACTTAGATTATTTTCATACACCTCAATTAACTTAATGCTGTATAATAGACATTACTCTTAAAAGAATGGACCCCTTCAAAGAGAAAGGGGCCCTTGCTGCAGCAAAAGTGCTCTTGATCAAAAGAATTAGATAATTTCTCCCTTTCTTTGGATCAAGTCTTAACATATTGTACCCCCAGCCCTCCTTTTAACCTCATTTGTGAGAATATTTTCCCATTTTGTAAAATTCACTTAGACAGAAGGGAAAAGGAACTGCTATCAACCCTGTTCTCATGTGACTTCCATTGGTAGTGCTGAGGTGGTTGTGCCACCACCCAATAGAAATTGGATCATGTAAGGATGTGCCAGGTAAATATCTGGCGAGATGTCAAGTGGCTAATTGCCGGGACCTCTGATAGGGAAAATACTACTACTACATGTTGTCCTACCACAGATTCTCTCCATCCCTTCTGCCACCCCAGATACCCAGTAGTGTCCTATACTCTCATTCCTCTGTCCAACCCTTATGCCTCCAACCTACAGCTGTCCTTTCAACCCTTATGGCATACCACACTCTTGAAGAGTTCCATAACCTTTCACTAAGCCCAGCAACAGTAGTAACTTTCCTTCACATGCTCTTTATCTCACAAACTACAGTGAAACCTTGATTTAATGGACTAATAAGGATGAGTGTGTGTGTTTAGTAATGCTAGTTGTTCATTAACCCTCTTGCTGTTCAGTCCTCCCAAATTAATATTGTTCTGTGTTCACTTTAAAAAAAAAATTCCTTTGAAATGGTCAAGTAAATATGAAAATTGATGGAAAACTTACAGAATTACCCAGGCGCAAAATTAGCAATCTGGGTGCAATTCACACATTGGAGATTTTGCCTGTTTAAGTCATATTTTAAGCCAATTCTGTTGTTTCCATTTGATCAAATTCATAGCTATTTCACTAGTATGCCTTCAGTTATGTTGATTGACACAAAAAATCCTCTCATTCAACTATTACAACTACCCTATGAAGTGCACAGAATTCAGTAATTTAGCCGATTTTACACAAAAATGCTAATTTTAAAATAGTCCAAAATAAACATTGCAGACATTCCTGACACTAAAATATTTCAGCTGTTCATTAATCATGTCCCTAGGCCTATCCTGTATTACACTTCCCTCTTATTTTGAATTCATATCATCACACAAAAAACTCAAAGGTTTGCCATATTTCTTGGATAAAATATAACCAGTAATGATTGGTTGTGGCTTGGGGCATCCCAATAATTAACTCACACCTAATAAAACTAACCATAAAATGGACTGGGGGTGTAGGGGGTCTTACCCATCCTCCAGAAAATCGGCAAAAATTGAATATTTCTGCTACTTTGAGGCAGATTTCAAGCTACTTCTGGTCCTAGAACCAAGGAAAATTGTGTATTTCAGTAGTATGTCTTCCATTCTATAAAATGATACAAAGAAACTGGAGTGTGCTCATATGGCTTATGGGATACCCCTTTCTGCTTATGACTACATTTTTGCTCATTATGTATAATGTCAAGGCACATTGTGACTTTCAGTGGTACAGGATAACTAAAATGCCCCAAAGTTTTTCCCTTTTTTAAGAGCAGATTTGTGAATTCCCATATCAGTTTGTCCATGTACTAGTTTAAGAATATAGGCAAATTATTTAAAAAAAAAAGTACAGGACTAGTAAACATACTGTATCTAGGTAAACAAGGTAGTTCAAAAACCATTAAAATGTACATTTTTTTTTTTCCTCCAACAAGTCGGCCGTCTCCCACCAAGGCAGGGTGACTCAAAAAAAGAAAGAAAATCTCCAAAAAGAAAATACTTTCATCATCATTCAACACTTTCACCATACTCACACATTATCGCTGTTTTTGGCCAGAGTGCTCAGAATACAACAGTTAGAAGCATATACATATAACAGATACACAACATATAAACTAATATATTATTCACATTTTCTCAGTTCATTTGTTCATAAGAAAAAGAAATTTTTTAGGTTTTGTGATCTAATTCCTTCACTGTGCAGCATTAAAACCCTAGGTACCCCATGTGGCACATTGATAACAGTGATTAAAATGAATGCTCAGCATATTAATGAGGAAAAAAATGGGCCACAATTGTAAACAAAAAGCTGTGAAAAGGCTGCTTGAAAATAATTCTAAATGTTGTAGACATTTAGAAAGGAATCAAAGATAGCTACAACCACTGGAAAACATTTAAAATATCATACAGTATTACAAAACTATAGACCATAACCTCAATTCCTGTAGTATAAACTAGAAAATAGGTAACTTTCGTAGTTTTTTTTTTTTTTTTTTTTTTTTTTTTTTAGACCACATTGGCCATCTCCCACTGAAGCATGGTGACCCCCCCCCCCCCCAAAAAAAAAGCAAATCACCGAAAAGAAAGAAAAATACTTTATCACATTCAACCAACATCACCTCACTCATACAACATCACTCTTTGCAGAGGCACTCGATAACGACAGTTTAGAAGTCCCCTCCAAACTGCCAATATCCAAGCCCCTCCTTTAACGTGCAGGCTTGACTTCCAGTTTCTAGGGCTCAAGTCGCGCTACCGTTTCCCAGAATCCCTTCACAAAATATTAACCCTGCTCATACTCCAACAGTCCCTTCAGATCCAAAAAACATTCGTCGTCCATCCACTAGACAACAACGTTCAACGCATGCTTGCTGGAAGTCCAAGCCCCTTGCCCACAAAAACCACCTTTACACCCCTCCCAGCCCGTTCCTTCCCCTACAGATTTATAGCTCTTCCCAAGTCATTTTACTTTGATCCTTCTCTCTGACTAAAAAACCTCAACAACTCTCTTCACCCTCTTGACAATATTCGGATTAATTCCCACACCACCACCAATTTTCCACAATCTGAATTCTCTGCATAATATTTACACCACACATTGCCCTTAGACAGAATATCTCTACTGCCACCCCTCCTGCAGCATTTACAATACCCAAGCTTCACACCTATTATAAGTTGTTGGTACCATTATACTTTCATAATCCCTTCTTGCCTCCATGGATACCGTTTTTTTTGTCTCCACAGATACCTCAACGCACCACTCACCTTTTTTCATTCATCAACTCTATGGTTAACCTCAGCCTTTCATAAACCGCATCCGCTGACAAGTCATTTCCAAATATCTGAAACCATTCACTTCTCCATACTCCTATATTTCAGCATTTTTAACAATTTGTAGTTAGGGTACTGAATTTAACTAGCACTATAACAAGTAAACACCCTGTATACCATGGATTCAGTATCCACCGTTTCAGTTTATCAAGTTTTTTCCTATGGCCCAAAAATAACCCGTAATTTTTGCTTCAATAATGCCCCAAAAGTGCAAAAGTAGTAATGCAAGCAGTTTTCTTTTCGAAGCTTCCCATCAGTTTTAAAAGTGCTAATTCTAAAATTTCCTTCTTTCAACACATGCGGCCGTATCCCACCGAGCGGGTGGCCCACAAGAAAAAAAACGAAAGTACTCCTTTTTACTTTAGTATTATATACAGGATAAGGGGTTACTAGCCCCTTGCTCCCGGCATTTTAGTTGCCTCTTACAACATGCCTGGCGTACGGAGGAAGCATTCTGTTCCACTTCCCCATGGCGATAAGAGGAAATAAACAAGAACCAAGAAAAAGAAAGAAAATAGAAGAAAACCCAGAGGGTGTTGTTATATATTATACGCTTTACATATATGTTTGTGTGAACCTAAGTGTAAGTAAAGTAGCAAGACGTACCTGCAAATCTTGCATGTTCATGAAACAGAAAAAAAAGACACCAAGCAATCCAACCATCATGTGTAAAACAATTACAGGCTTTCTTTTAACACTCACTTGGGCAGACGGTAGTACCTCCCTGGATGGTGCTGTTTACCAACCTACAACCTAATAAATAACCTATAATTATTTTGCATAATTTACAATTAAACTTTAACATAGGTAATGATGAAACGAGAAATTAAATCAATATAAAGGGTCGCTCGATCCACAAATTCAGGTACCACGGTAAAGTCATGGAATGTATCCCCTGGCGATAAGGAATCCATATTCCATTTGCATTTAGTCAAATTACTGGCCTAAATAGATCACTAAAAATTTGGGTTACCAATTCATAGCCCATAGCCCTCAAGAAGAGAAATGTACATCTCCATGACCTTCCTTCCCTCAAAATAAATACAGTACTTAAGTTTCCTCTCCTGGAAAAACTTGCCATTCATGAACCAGTCTGCTCAGTTATTTTTTGGTCCCTGCTGACCTATGTGGTACTGCCACAAACATGTTTATTCTGTCACTGTTCTTGATTTCCATGCAGCTGACAGAACTACACTTCATGAACAAGATTTGAGGCAGAGGTTTATAGCCACAGGTAGTCCGCAGAGACACTGAAAAATAAGCGTGCATAAATTAAACAACCTGGCATACCCTAAAAAATTTTTTGTTTGTTTTTTGTTTTTTGTTTTTTTTTTTCACTATAGCCCCAATCATTTTAGTATATCAGTGGATACTATGTACTAATATTGCAAGGAATTTGCAGTGATTAAACTTAATTTGGAGACCCGAGTGACCACAATGTATGCACATTTGCTCTCTATTATAATAAAAAAAAAGAGCGCTAACCCACATTTTGGCTTAGCGCTTCTTTTTGATTATAATAATAATAAACCACATTTGCTCTCTAGATTTAAGTAATTAACCCAGAGCTTTTCAAAACAGGCTGGCAGAATGAAGGATCTGGCTTGAACTGAAAAGATTGGAAAATCATGAAAAAAACTATGGGGGGCTTTCCTAGTCTATTGTCAACTGTCATTGAACCCACTGGGTTGACACCTTCAATATGTGTAAGGATTAGCAGTGGGGAGTGGTAAACCTGTAGGATTATACAGCGCTTGTGTGGGGGGGATGGAAGGTATTCAGACTCGATTTAGGGAACCGGAGCACATATCCAATTCCCTAGATCAAGAGCCCCTCACCAGTG